TATATGTAAAATAGAGAAACAACAAGTTTCTACTGTAGAGCATAGGGAACTATATTCAGTATCTTGTAGTAACCTAAAATGAAAAAGAGTATGAAAACAAATATATGTATGTATATGTATGACTGAACCATTATGCTGTACACCAGTAATCAACACAGCATTGTAAACCGACTATACTTCAATAAAAAGAATTAAAAAAAGACACAGACTTTGGGCTTTCTTCATACACTAAATGAAATATAAAATCTAAAAATCAAGTAAAAGTTCATATTGTAAAAGTTCTACTAAAGTCTTACCTCCATCAGAATGAAGAGTGCTGCAAAGAATAGAAGCGTTGCCCATTCTACTCGGTGTAGAATTATCTCAAAATCGTGGATATCAGCTAAAATTAGCAACCAGATGGCCCCCAGAACAGCTATCCACCCTGAAAAACAAATAAATGGACTTATGGATGTACTTCAGTGGTTAACACGCTGATTTTTCATCTTAAAATTGCTTTTTTATTGAGGATAATTGATATTCTATAAACTGAACATACTTTAAAATGTACAAGTCATATTTTGCCAGTGTAGACATCCAAGTACCAAACACAACAATCCGGATAATGGACATATCCACCATTCCTGGCAGTTTACTCATGTCCATGTTCTTGTCTCCCTCTCCCTCCTCTGGCCACCCCACCTCACCCCCAGGAAACCATTCATCTTTTTTCTCTCATTATAGATGAATTTACATTTTCTATAAACGCGATCATACAGCATGCATTTTTTTGTCTGACTGCTTCCGTTCAGCACAATTATTTTAAGATTCTTCAGTGTTGATGTGTGGACCAATAGTTCATTCTCTGTTATTGTTTAGTAGTATGCCACAGTATGGTTTTGCCACAATATACACACCCATTCACCATCGATGGACATTTGCATTACTTCCAAAGCTTGCCTATTACAAATCAATGTGCTATGAACTTTCATATACAATTACCTATATGTACATTATGCTTTCAGTTCCCTTGGGTAAATACCTGGGACTGGAATGGTTAGATCATATGATACGTTAGTATTACGGAATATTTATGTTTTAAGAAACTCTGAAACTGTTTTCCAAAATGATTGTAACATTTTACAGTCCCATCAGCATATGAGAATTCCAGTTCCTCCTCCACATTTTCAACACTTTGCTCTTTTGATTTTTGACATTCCAAAGGGTGTGAAATGGTATCTCATTGTGGTTGCAAGCTGCATTTCTCTAATGACCAATGATGTTGAGCATCTTTTCATGTACTTATGTGCCATCCGTATATCTTTTGTGAAGTCTGTGTTCAAAGAGTCTGCTCATTTGTTTCTGAGTAGAGCAAATAAACCCGAAAATAAGTAGAAGAAAAATCTGC